CAGATCTCCTCCTCCCCTGCGGCGGCGGCAGCTGAGCCGGCCATGGAAAGGCACCCCACAGCCACCCAGATAACCAGGGAGCTGCTGCGGAGCAAAGGCATCGCCGGACTCTACAAGGGCCTGGGAGCCACGCTGCTAAGGTAGGATGGCGTGACAGGGCTCTGGCGTTCCCAGCCTTGGACCTAAGCCACCACCCATCCCAGGAATGAGCCTGCAAAGGAGGTGTTGGCTTCAGCGGGAGTGGCTTGGTTTAGTTCGTTTTCCATGCACATTAAAGAAGGGAAGGTCAGAGAAGCGAGGGATGGTATCTTTTTGTTCCTGGAAAACCTAATTCTGCTGCTTTCTTTGAAAGGTTTTTGTCTGCCCCATGGTCTATATTTTCACACTGTGCAGAAGTCCTTGTGAGCTGGCAAAGTAAAAGCGTCAGCCTGAGACCCCAGGGTGTGCAATGGGAGCTGGGCCACAGAGTGTGTTGGATGCAAGGATCGGTGCCTGCTCTGACACTCTTTGCCTGGGCTTTCACAGTGTGACTCTCCTCTAGTTTTAACAAAAGTAGAACTAAAGCAGCACCCATGGGGATAGAGGGCAGAAAGGAACCTCTCGTAATTAAAAAAAGTGGTCAAAACAATTGACCTCTGAATGTGCTGGTGTCTTTGCTCATCCTTGTTCTTTCTTCCCTTTCTTCCTGTCCCACTGCAGGGATGTCCCATTCTCCATTGTTTACTTCCCACTGTTTGCAAACCTGAACAAGCTGGGCCAAAAAGACCCCAATGTCAAGGCTCCATTCTACGTGTCCTTCCTCTCTGGATGTGTGGCCGGCAGTACGGCTGCAGTGGCTGTCAATCCTTGTGATGGTGAGTCCTGAGCAGGCTGTGCTGGTGGCCTGGTGCCAAGTGACAGGACTCGGAGGCCCAGGCTGGGCCAGGTGAGGAGGAGGGTGACTGTGCCAGCCTTTTTGCATCATGAGCACACAGAAAGGGACAGCTCTGCTGCCTCCAGCTCCGATGGTGTGAGTTCAGCTGAGTTACAACTTTTGCCACAGCTTACACAGAGGTTTGAAGTACTTACTAGGTATGTCAGGAAGAGTGTCATTCATTTCAGTTATTCTTGGCAGAAAAGGCACATTTCCATGTGGAGTGATAATATGCAGACCAAGTGGACTTAAAAATGTATGGGACGAACAGGGGAAACCTCAGATCTGTGGCCTTTTCTCCTGCTCCACAGCATCTGCCTTAAATACCACCTTGGTTTCTCTCCTGTGAAAAACACCAGAAAGTAACTGCTCCCTCCTCAACACTGCACATGCTCCAAGGTGTGAAGAAATGTAGGAGCAGAATTGTGCATTTTAGATACCTCTTCCTGAAGGAGATGAGCAGTTGAAAATAAGTTTGCAGAGAGATACCTGAATTTGGAAGGTTTAAAACTTAAGTCAGCTTTTGAAACCTTGAGTGAGGGAGGGAGGGGTTGGGTTTTGTGTGGCTTTGTGTTTCTTTTATCCATTTGTAAAGGAAAGGGTTTGTTTTCCCTGATAAATGTATGAAAATGGTCTGTATTCTTGGTAATTTTGTTTTGACCATTTCATAGACATTACTCGTAGGGTGGCTCCTGCCTGCTACACTTCCAGTGCTCACCGGTGTCTCCCCTCTCTTCCCTCCCCAGTGATCAAAACACGGCTGCAGTCCTTGCAGAGAGGAGTGAATGAGGACACCTACTCGGGGATCCTGGACTGCACCAAGTAAGACTCCTCATGACAGAGGCACCACATCAGGTGTTTGGCAGCTGCTGCTACCTGCTGCCAGGCAGGCAGTGCAGCTTCTAGACCGAATCAACAGCTGTGCTTCATGTTCCCTCTGTCCCTGTGCTTTTATCAATCTATCTGTCTATCTGGAGATATATATAAGATATATTAACAGATGTATATATATAGTTTTATAAAAGAGAAGTTCTCCCCATATTGAGCAAGAAAAATATAGCATTTATATTTAAATACTTCTGTCCAAACCCCAGTAGTCATAACACTGAGATTTTATTTCTGCAAAGGGAGGCAATGTTGTAGTCTCTCTTTCCAGCAGTGTAGGCCCCACTGCTGGAAAATCCTACAGTATTGAGTCTCATATGACTCCTAGGACTGCTCTGCACAGCGTCTGCAGGAGCACTGCCAGAGTGTGCTGTCCCCAGCTGCATTACCTTCTGGCCCATTGCTAAACAATGGTCTGGCTGCTTCAAAACACGAAGGGACTTATATGCTTTTGTATTTCACTGGTAACAGAATGTGTTGCCATCTGGCTCTGTCCCATGCTGGGTGAGCTTTTGAGTAGGAGGACCTCTTGATGCAAGCATTGGGTTGTCTTAGCTGTATTCTGGACACGGGCAGCCACTCCTGCATCTAGCCAGATGCAGGGATGGGGCAGGTTTCTGCATGGCCACTTGCAGAGCACTTGGGCAGTGATGGGTGATTTGCCGTGGAGGCTGTGCCAAGCAACAGCGCTTGCCTGGTTTAGTCTCTGGAGGGAGGCAGAAAGGCAGGGCATGGCCAGGGGCTCTCCTGGCACGGTGGAGGGGTGGGATGGACACTTACCTGTCGGTGCCATTTCTCCCCAGGAAGATCTGGCAGAGGGAAGGGCCCACGGCCTTCTTCAAAGGGGCCTACTGCCGAGCCCTGGTCATTGCTCCCCTCTTCGGCATCGCACAAGTTGTGTACTTCGTCGGCATCGCGGAATTCCTGCTGGACATGCTCCCCAAGCACCGGGCCTAGCCCGGAGTGGCTGCGTGTGCCCTCCCGCCCTCTGCAGCGCTGGATTCATCCCCGTGTTCGCCATCCGTGTCGATCGATGTCAGAGCAACAGCACAAAGGGTTCGCGCGGGGACGCGAAGGGACCCGGTGCCCAGATGGGCAGACGTGGGGAGGGAGAGTCCCTTCCCTGCCGCCGTCTGGGACCTGCCCCCTCCTGCTCCTTCCACGGACAATACTTAATTATTCCTCCCTATCTCTCTCTTTTTAATTTCCCGTGTTTGGTTTTAAATTGTCATTCTTAAGGACACTGGTAAGCACAGACTGGGCTTGCAGACCCAGAAGTCTCCTCTCAGTCTTGGGGAGGAGGAGAGATGGGAAAGAAATAACTTCTACCCTCATCCACCTCAGTTTCCCGTTCTACCTGGAGCTGCCAGCCATCTGAGGAGGAGCTGGAGGGGCAGCTGTGTCCCCTCAGTCCCTCCTTGGCTCTGCTGACCTCGGGTCAAGAGTGGAAGCTGCACAAAGGGGGCTTATCTCATTGCTGCTGGAGGCAGGGGTGGGGGGATGGTGGCTGGCAAGTTCCTTGGCCTGCAAACCTTCAGTCCTCCCTTCTCCCTTTTTAAAAACTAGTTGGACTTAAATGAATTCTGACTGTTCCTATTGATTTTGTAATTATTTTTGTTTTAAAGCAAAGGGATGTCCCCCCTAACTAGGTGTCACAGGCACATCCGGGTGAGGTGCAAAAATCAGAAAAATCAGGTGTCTGCTCTGTAGGGAACATGTCTGTGGGATCACGTGAATGTCCAAAGGTACTTCCCTGCTTGGCTACAGGCATGGAAGGGAAAGGAACTTGGGATCAAGTTATTTTTCTTTTGGGGTGAGTTTTTTGGTGGTTTTTTTGGGTTTGTTTTTCTTTTATTAGTTTGTTTGGGGGTGGGGGGTGTTGGTGGTTTTCTTTCGTTTTGTGGGGATTTTTTTTAGTTCTATTTTTGTGGGGTTTTTTTAGTTGTGTGTTTTTGGGTTTTGGGTTTTTTTTTTTTTGGTTGGGTTTTTTTTTTTTTATTCAGGGTTGTGGGGAGGAAAAACCAAACAAAAAGAAGCCACTTACATTCCTTCAGCCTGCCCACCCCTAGAGTGATAAAGCTGTGGCTGCAGGTGTAGATCAGCTGATCTGATTTTTTCCCAGCCTGATCCCAGGTGTGTGGAAGGAGGCACTGGCTCCAGTTCTGGCACTGTCCAACCTCGTGGAGCTGCAGCAGAAATGCTGCACCTGTGGGCTCACCCTGCCACGTCTGGTCTGGTTGTGTTCTGATGTTTGCCTTGGGTGTGACTGGAGGCAGTGGGTGTGGAAGAGGCAGAAGGTTCATATTCTCTGAGCAGGGAGCTGTTTGTGTGTCCACTTGAGGGGGTGAGTCCTGTGCTTCACAAGAACATCCTGTTTGCTCCCTGGGTGGGGATCGGTAGTGGGTAGCAGGGGGCAAATCCACACCTACAACCTGCTCTGTCAAAGGGACACTGTCCCAACTAATATCACTTGTCAGAGGAATTCCTCATTCAGTACTCTCTTGGGCTGTGTAATTAATTCTAGTTTAAATTATCTTAAGTGTGAGATCTGCCAACCCAGTGTGATCTTCTCCATTATTTATTCCATTTGGTGCGATCCACCCAACTTTGGTGTTGAAATTAAACTGGTTGAATTCACTTTTCATTCCTTCTTTTTGCTTTATTCTCCAGGCACCTGCTTGGTGTTTGTGTTTTGAATGTGTATTTAAATTAAATTTCAAAATATCCTTGTTTTTAATGTTTAAAAGAAAACCACCTCTGTTTACTGTTCTTTGGTTAGGTTTTCATGAAACCTGTATGTTGAGGGCCTTCTTCCTTGATGCATCCTTTTTCTCTTTGAAAGAGTTGTTCTGTGGCTGATTTGTTATTTGTCACTTTGCCTATGTGAATAATTTTCTTTTTCTTTTCTTTTTTCTTAATGACTTTTCCGTGTATCTGGAAAGGAATCTGTGCAAAGGCAATGATAGATGTCTGTGCTGTGTGTAGTGCTGTGATGCTGCTCTTGCTCTGGATTTCCCTTGGGTGGATTAAAAGAGAAAGGTTTATTTTAGTTTTTTCATTAAAGTGCCCCATTCCTTGCTGCTTTTTGATTTACAGGGGGGGGGTCCCCAAAAGGGACCTTGCTGATAAAACTTGTGGGTTTTCAGCTTGCCTTTCTTCCTGCAAGGATTGACCCTGGAAACTGGGTGACTTGTGGCTGCGGGGATGTGCGTGGGTTTGTATGGTGGGGTTGAGTTCGGAAGAAAGTTTGATGCAGTGAAGGGCTGAGGTTCAGGGACAGTGCTCCTTGTCCTTCAGGATGCTTTTTTAAAAACAACTTTGTAAAACTGACTCTCCTGAAATCTCCAGCTCTTCTTCCACTGTGCGGGAGGTGGTGACATAAATTTGGCTGATTTTTAGCTTCCTGGCCATGTCCCTGAGCCAGCAGGACCTGGGGAGGTGGCAGGAGATAACAGCTGTGGCTGTGCAGGACAGGTACCCCCCTGCCCAGGCAGGCAGGATCCTGCTTGCAAAAAGAAAAAAAAAAAAATTAAATGGGAGAATTCCCATCAATTTAATTATCACCTGTTAACTGAAACCACTCTGCATTGATTGCATCATTGAGGAATGAAAGTAAATAAACACTCCTCTGCTCCCCTCCCTGCAGGTGCTGCTTGTCCCTGGGGCAGGAGCCAGCAGCCAGCACCACTCCTTCCCTCTTGTTCCTCTGGCAGAGCTCTGGGCCCATTCCAGCCTTACCTTGTCCGTGTCAGCCTTGTCCCTTGCTCCCAACCTGACCTGGCTCTCCTGGCTCCTCTTTGAGTTTCATGGTGTTCACTGCCCTTCAATACATTTTGCTGGATCTGCTGAATGCCCCTGTCCTATTTCCTAAAATCGTGGGGGGAAATTCCTGCAGAACAAAAATAAAAATCCTGGCAGCCAAGAGGGAAATTCCTGGAACACCAACCTGGAAGGCTGAATATCCTGGATAACAAAGGGGACAAGACAACTTCTGTAAGGCAATGTAGGAATTTCCATGTGAGAACTAGGGGCAAGCCCTTGAAAGTAAAGGGGGAAATACACAGGGAATTTCTAGAAAGCAATGAGGGGATTTCCTACAAGGCTATAGGGGGAATAGCCTAGAAATAAAAGGAGGTAAATTACATGAAAGCAAGGAGAAAATTGCCTCAATTACCTGGTAAATTCCTGAAAAGCAGAAGTGACATTTTTAAAGAAAGTAACAGTGATGATTTCGAGAGGGGAAATTTCCCAGAATGCAAAGGAGGAATTGGTGAATAGCAAAAGGGGCATTGCCTGGAGGGGATGAATGGTACTTCTTGGGAAATAATGTCTTGCTTCCCAGTGTGAGGAAAATCCATAAACGCCCCTCTGTGCCCCCAGGCTCGCCCCAAAACAGAGGTTTATGTCCAAAAAGGAGGCAGAAGGAGTTCTTCAACTTTATTCAAATAAAGTGAGAATCAAATAAAGTGAGAAAGTCCACCAGGACACACACCTGTGGCATTTTCTCTCTCGAAGTTTCCAAGGGGGCATCCTTTTTTTATCCTAAACTCCTGGCCACATGTTGCCCTCTTGCTTTCCCTATTGGCTGAGGCACCAGGAAGGTTCAGCCTTCCCGAACCGCCTACCACATATCCCACTTTGAACCTACTATTTTACCCTAAAATTCAGAAACTCAGGCTGTGCAGACCCTTGTCTGTTTCAGGAGCAGAACTGCCTGGGCTCTGCAGCAAACCCGCTGCCCTAAGTCAGTAGAGACATTGAGCCCGCCCATTTCAAAGACCTTAACACTCACACCTTCACCCAGCAAATTGTTTGTAAACACATCAGCTTTCCTCTCAGCAGGGAGTTACAGTCATGGGGAAATTTCCCAGGGAAGCAGTGGAGATCCTCTAAGCAGAGGGAAAAATCGTAGACAGGGATGGAGGACTCTAGAAAGCAACAAAGACATTGCCCAGGAAACCAGGAGGAAATAGCCTAGAACGTGACGGGGAAATTTCCTGGAGAATGGGGGATTTCTTAGGAAGGAAGTGGGGGATTTCCTGGGAAACAACAGGCAATGTTCTGAAAAACCACGTAGAGTGCCTAGGAGGCAGTAGGGGGTTCCTGGAAAGAAGAAATTTCCTCAAAAATAAGCTGCACATTGGGAAAGAGGCTGCAGTCCCATGCCTCAGCCTCACTGTCCCCTCCATCCCTTCCTGGCCCTTGGGTAAGGAACTCGAAGAACCTCTCAGGGAGTTTGGGGTTTTTTTACTGCTCCCCAGAGAGCTCAAAGGGCTCGGAGAAGAGCCGGGTGGTCGCTGTTGCTGCCCTTGACCTGTCGGGGGCATGGGCTGGTTCGCCTCTGCCTCGGTGCCGAGCGCTGCCCGCCGCACTTCGGCCTTTCTCGGTTTGTCATTTTTGGCAGCACGGCCTTGGCGTGCAAGCCCATGCAGCCGGGAGAAGAGGGATTAAAATAAACATCTGGACACCCCGGGGGTTTCCAGCCGCGGTAAGCCCCAGCTGGAGCGGGTGTGGCTGACCCCCTGCGCTGCGGGATTCCCACGCTCAGCTTTAGGTGGAGTTTATTAATTTAATCACTGACAGTCCGGGGAGCGCCGTGCGCGGGGCTGCGCGGCGGCGGCGGCGCCGGGCCCGGAGCATCTCCCGGGCACCCCGGGAGCGGCGGCACCGCGCCCCGCGGGAGCGGCGGCACTTTCACTTTCGGAGGGACACGTGATTTCCAGGAAAACGAGAGGGCCGGATAAGGGATCGGGAAGGAGGCGGCCGCCCCCGCGCCTAGGGCACGGCACAGCACGGCACGGCACGGCACGGCACGGCACGGCGGCTCTGCGGACCCGGCACCATGGCAGCAGCGATGGAGAAGGAGGGGTAAGCGGCGCCCAGCACCCCCGGCCCGCCCCGGGTCGCCGTCTCCGGGTGGCCCCGGTTCCCCCCGGTGACGGTCCCCGCCCGCAGGGAAGCCCAGAGGCTGCGGTTCGGACAGTGGCTGCTGGACGCCATCAACAGCGGGAGCTACCGGGGGCTGCGCTGGATCGACGCTGCCCACACCACCTTCCGCGTCCCCTGGAAGCACAACGCCAGGAAGGACATCACCAGCACTGACCTGGAGGTCTTCAAGGTGGGTGGGATGAGTGTCACCAGCAGCGATGTGGAGATCCTCCAGGTGGGCGGGGTGGGGGTCGCCAGCAGCAGCTTCAGGGTCTTCAAGGTGTGCGGGATAGGATGGTGACCTGCAGCAAGCTGAGGTCTTCAAGGTGGGAGCTGGGGAGGTGAGGAAGACCAGTCATCCCGGGAAACCTCCATTCTCATGGAGCCAGGGAGCCCATGTTCACCTCCCTGCACCCCCAGGCCTGGGCAAGGGTCAGTGGGCGGTACGAGGAAGGCTCCGAGGATCCGGCCAAGTGGAAGACCAACTTCCGCTGTGCCCTGAGCAGCACCAACTTGTTCAAGTTGGAACAGGACCATTCCAAGCGTGGTGATGACCCCCATAAGGTTTTCTCCATTGTCTCAGGTGAGTGTCGCCCCATGGAGGGGCTGTGTTGGATGGGGTGGGCAATATCAGGGCCTCCCATTTCTGCTACTCTCCTTTCAGCCACCCTCCAGGACAGCAAGGAGGGACATTCCAGCATCCCCAACCCTGTGGTGGACCAGCAGGCAGCACAACAGCAGCTGCAGGTAGCTGGGTGGGGACAGCAGGCCAGGGGGGATCCCTGCTGCCACTCCACCAGCATTGCTCCCAAGCTGCAGCCAAATGTGGGCTGGCCAAAATGTGGGCTGAGGGAGGCTGGATGCCTGGCAACCACAGCAGTAAGATCCCATTCTCCTCCCCTTTCCAGCTGGAGCCCCACCCCCAAGACATGGCCTCAGCCATTGCTGTCCCAGGTAAGCACTAGTCCCACAATGTTTTTTGGGGGGAGGATACCCAGTAGGCTCAGCTGGAAGTAATTTTGTGGCTGTGAGACATCATACCCACTGTGCTCCCCCTTAGGAAACACTGACCCCACAGAGCTCTCGCTTCTGGGGGAGCTGCTGCAGAACTGTGACATCTCTCCCAGCGACTTTGACTCGCTGGCCCCATCCTGGGTACCCGCAGGTGAGAGTTGGCCTGCTCGCGGGGTGCAGAGTTGGTGACTGCCTGGGTGAGTGACCCCAGAACCTTCCCACAGGTGGTTTCCCTGCCGGGGACACTCCCCACCAGGACATTGTACTCCAGCCTCACCAGGACACTCTGCTCCAGCCTTACTCAGACACCAGCCAAAACAGCCGCTTCCATCGCACATTTCCACAATGGGTGCCCTCGGTGGAGCAGCCCACCTTGGGCACCTACCAACCAATGGGCCTCATGCCACCAGAGGAGACAGGTGGGTGCCATGGGACAGGATCTGCCCCTGGCTGTGGGAATGCCATAATGGGGTGGGAAGAGGCCAGGGTGGCATCTGGAATGGTGATACATTGCTGCTCATCTCCCGCTGCAGGGGCCGTGCCACCACCGTGCCAGCTGACGGAGGGCACGGTCCCCATGCAGTGTGTGCCGGGTGGGACGTTGTTCGTGCCCGCCGCCAGCCCCGTGCCACAGCCACGGCTGCTGCTGGATAGTACAGGTGAGGGTTATTAATTATTAATAGCTATAAATTATTATTATGACAATTATTAACAGTAAATATGCTTGGGGGGTGCACTGGGGAGGGGGAACGTTTCGGTTTGGAGGATGCAGCTGCTGATCACTTCCTGGTGCAGATGGCATTGTCTCCATCCTGGATGTCACCATCTACTACCGGGGGAAGGAGTTCCACCACGAGGTGGTTGGGGGCAGCCACTGCCTGCTGACGTACCAGTGCCCCAGCCTGCCGGGGGCCCCGAGCCCCGGGCACGTGGTGTGCTTCCCCAGCCCCGCCAGCCTGGCCGACGGCAAGCAGCGGCGCATCACTGAGGATCTGCTGGGCATCGCGAGGCTGTGGCTGGAGCAACGCGCCTACAAGGTCTTTGCCACCCGCCAGGCGAAGTGCAAGGTGTTCTGGGCCTTGTCCCAGCAGCTCGAGGGGGTTGAGGATCCCCCACTCAACCTGCTCTGCCGAGACCAGGAAACGCCCATCTTTGACTTCCATGAGTTTTGCACAGGTGGGAAGGGGTGTAGTTCCCCGTGTCTTGTTTCCTGCCCAGCCTGGTTTGGGGCTCATGGGAGCCAGCACCAGGATGTTACAAGCATCTAAATCCTCCCAGCCCCTCTGTGCCCCCAGGCTCACCCCAAAACTGAGCCCTGTTTTGCCTCACAGAGCTGAGGGACTTCCGCAATGGCCAAAGGCGGCGATCTCCAGACTTCACCATCTATCTCTGCTTTGGGCAAGCCTTCTCCAAGGCCAAGCCTAAGGAGTCCAAGCTCATCCTGGTCAAGGTACAGTAGCCAAAACCCACCAGTACTCCAATGCTGCCCAGGGAAGGGGAGAGACTCCTGGAGGCCAGGGGAGCTGGAACTCTGTGTGCCTGAGAAGGGGGATCCTCGAGGTCGAGTTGGGTGGGAGATGGAGAGTCTGGGTGCCTGAAGAGGGACCCTTGGGGACTGAGGCAGGTTTGATTCTGAGTGCCCAGGGATGTGGTCTTCTAGGTGATGGATAGGTGATGGAGTTTCCTCAGGGGCCAGGGCAGGTGAGTGCTTGGGTGCACAAGGAGGGAGGCCCTCACTGTGCAGTGGAGATGGTGATTTGTGAGCCCTCAGGATCTGGGGCAGATGGATAGATCTGGATACCCAAAGAGGGGATAGCTTGGGGGCTGAGAGAGGTGGGGGAATTGAGTGACAGGGAGGGGGACCCTTGGTGACATGGGGGGCTGCATGACCAGGGAGGGAACCCTTGGGGACAGGGAAAACATGGGTTAAGAATGGGACAGAGAACACTTGGGGTCTGGGTGGGATGGTGTGGAAGGCAGATGCCCAGGGACAGGGACCCTCAGGGGTTGGGGGAGACAAAGGGTGCCCCAGACATCTCCTCCCTGCACTCCGGGAGGACAGGGCCATGCAGGTTGTTGCAGCTATATCAGGCAGCTGCCCCTAACCCCAGTGTTTTGCTGCTGCAGCTGGTGCCCAAGTTCTGTGAGTACTACTACGAGCAGGTGCTGCAGGAAGGAGCCTCCTCCCTGGACAGCCGCACCATCAGCCTGCAGCTCTCCAACTCCTTCGACCTCATGGAGCTGATTGAGCAGTACAGCATGCAGCTGGGCTGAGCCCACCTGCCCCGCTCCCCATGGCCCTGGCACAGGCAGCAGGACCACTGGGCATCCAGGCTCTGCAAACCAGCACTCCCCAACCCGAGCAACACTTCAGTGACCAATCCTGGAGCTCACACATTGCTTTTCCTCTCTGTCAGCTTCTAGTGTGTGTTTTTGTGGAGGGTGGTAATTTACAGATTTATTTTCTTAACTTTTCCAAGCTAAAAAAAAATATATATATATATGGGAATGTAGTTCTCTCTTGCCTGGATATCTGCCTCTTCTATCAGTCTGAAATCTTCACCACCCCTTTCTACCCCCAAAACCACGGGTGTCCATACCCAGCCTTGTCTCAGCAAAGTCTCTGCTGGCAGGGGTGAGCTGGTATCAGAGAGCTTTATCAGCACCTTCTTCCCCTTAAATTTGAGTGGATGAGGTGACTTCCCAGTGTGAAGGGATGCATTTATCAATGCGTTTATTTCCATGCATTAAGGCTGCAAACATGACTCGCAAGCAAAATGTGTTGAGGACAGCTTGGCTTGGGCTAAACAAAAGTAATTCTTCGTTGAGCACTGCCCAGAGTTACTCACTGGAGATGTTCTGGAAAAATAAGGCAGTAAGTACAACAGGAAACACCCAGACCACCAGCTCAGAGGTGCAGAGGGGGTGGTATCTCAGGGAGGAGTGTGGAGACCAGAGGGCTGCCTGAAGATGGGTTGTGCCCTCCCCAGGCTGCAAGCAACTGCACCCCCTCCTTTCAGGAGCCTGACCATCACTGTTGGTCCCTGGGCAAGGGGAGGAAGCAGTGTCCTTACCTGCCGAGTGACCTGGATGCTGCTGGGCCCAAAGGTGGTGGTCCCGTAGCTTGTCACATAATAGTGAGCAGAGGGCTGTGCTGGGGGCTCCTCCAGTGGCCTGGGTACTATGGGAATGGGACACCCTTAGCCCCTCTGCTCCATGAAACCCTCAGCCCTCCTGCCCCTGAGCACAGCTGCGGCACAGACTTGGGACACCAGGCTCACCTTTGGGCAGGAGCAGCTCTGCACCAAAGCGGTGCCCACACGTCCCACAGGTTTTAACGTCTTCCTTTGTCCTGTGGAGGAAAAAGCCCAGGAAAAAGGAGCAGGAGCTGCTCTCAGCGCTTGCCATGGAATATGATGCCGAGGCCATGGAAGAGACTTGCTCTTCCCATCCTGACCTGAGGTGCAGCTGTTGGTGGACAGCCGCTGCCCTCCCAGGTGCCTGAGCACCTTCAGCTCTTCATGAAACAGGGACATGTGGGCACATGTCCAGAGGGAACATTCTGTGCCTGAGCCCCAGAGTCTCAGCTTCTTCACCTTTCCCTCCACGCTCCAGTTTCCCACACCAGTAAGTGTTAACACCACTTGGGACACGAGCTGCTGTGGTTGGGAGAAGGGCACTGTAGTGCCTGGTGAGTTTCACAACTAATTTCACCTGGCTTTTAGAAGCTAACCAGCTGCACCAGCATTGCAGTAGTGACCACCCAGGTCCCACCCTCACTTGGAGGGCACAGTGTGTACGTACGTGGCACCTGTGCCGTCCATGTCTGGCCAGAGGAACTCTGCGGGACAGCCGGACGTTCGGCAGGGAGCCTTCACACACACGTGCAGCCCCGGCCACTCCTCAGCGAGCTTCTGGATGATGAGCACAACTGCCACAAGGAAGTCCCAGGCAAACTGGAACCCTTCCAGGCAAAAGGAGAATGTCTCTTTCTTACAGCCTCCAGCCACAGCAGCCCAGGAGATTCTGTTGTGACCCACACATCATTTCCAGCCCACAGCCTCAACTGTCAGACCAGCTCCATCCCCAGTTAACCAAACTTCCATACGGAATTTAATGGTATGTTGGAAGAGCTCCCCACCTTGGGTGGCCCTTTTACTCATCACTTGAAGACCCAGCCTTAGACTGTTCTCTGCTGGGGCCTTCTGGGGAAGGACGACCCATTTGCTTCATGATGAGAACGAAAACTTGGCTTTCCGCTTTCATGTGATACCTCTAGAGGAGTCCTGACCAGAATTCCATGGAGAAAGGGAAAAACTTTAAGTGGACTGCTGGTGGACCCAGGCCAGACTAGGACATGTGGCAAAGGCTTCTTGGGACACTTCCCATAGGGTTGGAGGTGGCAGGAGCAGAGCTAAGGAGAGACATGGGGTTGGGAGTAATGAAATATGGATCAGGGATCTTACCTGTCCTTTCTGATGGCTTTCTGCTGCGGAGCTCCAGGTAGCTGTAGGCCCTCTGGTTATTCTCTTTGATCAGCAGGGGTTTGCCATTACATACAAGCAGGCAGGTCACCTTGGCCACCCAGTGCGTGGAATAGAAGGAGCAAGCTTTCACCAGCAGCCTGCAAGGAGATTGTCCATGGCTTTCATCACTTTTCTCCTAGCTTATCCCTAATGCTGGAGAAACTGGATGGACTTGAAATTATGAACCAAGTTTCAGTAAGAACAGACACCAAATGAGGACCTTCCCCTGCTGAAAGCTCAAGTAGCAGGAGCAGCCTCTTAAACCAAGAGATCCTTCCAGAGTTGGCCATTTTGTCCTGGTTTTGTCTGGGATGAAGTTAATTTTCTTCCTAGTAGCTGGTACAATGCTGTGCTTTGGATTTAGGATGAGAATGATGTGGATAACACATCACTCATGTGTTAGTTGCTGCTGAGCAGGGCTTACCTCAAGTCAAGGATTTTTCAGGTTCTCAGGCTGCCCTGCCAGCGAGGGGAATGGGAGGGGACAGCCGACCCCAAATGACCAAAGGGTTATCCCATACGCAGTGGCATCATGCTCGGCACAAAAACCTGGGGGACCATTGCTTGGGAACAGGCTGGGCATGAGTTGGTTAGTGCTGAGCAATTGGTTTTTATTTGTATCACCTGTTCTTCGGTTTTATTTCTCCCTTTGCTGATTTCCTTTTCATTACAATATTATTATTGCTATTACTGTTATTATAATTTATTTCAACTATTAAACTGTCCTTATCTCAACCCATGAGCTTTCTCACTTTTCTGATTCTCCCCCCAGTCCAGCTGGGGAGAGTGAGCAAGTGGCTCTGTGGTTTTTGTTGCTGGTTAGGGTTTAACCACAACACCATCAGATAAAACTCCAGACACAAGTCCAGAAAACCAGGAGAAGTTCCAAAAACTGGTATAGTTCCAACACCCATAGAAACTAGAACATTCTTGGGTGAGACTGTGAGACCTCTGCCTGCCTGCCAAATTAGCCAAACACCACCTCCAGATGAAAGGTGAACCAGAAGGAACATGGCTTTTGCTCACATCCAGGCAGTGAACATCGCAAGGGGTTCACCCAGGGCCCTACGTGTGTGTGGCACAGCTGAGAAGCCACCCTGGTGTCTTGACTCCCAGCCTCAGGCCTCAGCAGACACAGTCTTAAGAGCCAAGGGCTTGCTGAGAGTCATCCTGGCACTGCACTGAGCAAACTCAAACCTCATTGATGGCCGGAAACCAGTGCTTACCTCTGGAAGAAGCCCTCAGGTATTTCGGGTGAGAAGTAGGCTCGGATGTGGAGGTCCTCAGGGTGATCTCCTCCCCAGAACTCAGACACTTCCTCTGTCTGGTTCAGATAGGTTGGGAACAAGTACCAGGACTCGCCTTGGCTCCGTGTTGTCTCCCACAGCTTCCCAGGCACAAACTCCCTGGCCTGCGGGTTGAGTGCTTCAGTGTGCTTCACCTCCAGGCAGAGCTCAAAGTGCTCCAGGAGGCTGAAGAGCTTCCCTCTCCCTCTGTGAGGCCTGTGTCCCATGATTTCCTCAAAGACATCCCACCTCCCTTCCGAACAGAGCTGATGCTTCACCAAGGCACGCACAGCCTGGTGGCACAGCATTGCCTTTGACCTGAAGTTCCACACCCAGTTGGCCCTGTCTCTGATGGTGGCATGTTCCCCGATCAGCGTCTCCACAGAAATGCTCTCGAGCTGCTGGACGAGTTGGTGCCGCACCAGGAGCTGCATGGGAAGAGAAGGAGAGATGAGGTGGCAGTGAGAAGAGCCCAACAAAGCTGCAGAACTTGGGCTCTATAGGGATGGTCCTGATCCCCACACTCACCTTGAACATCGTTATTAAAAATGTAGGCTGGAGGAAGACGGTGCTTTCCAAGTGCTTGATTTCCTCATACCACACGACGAGCCCGATGCGATGGAGGTACCGCAAGATGTCCTGGAGGAGCTCTCTGTCCAGGCTGGCCAGGTGCTCGCGCTGGGAGACTTTGCTGAGTAGGTACTGGAGGTCCATCATGCCTAGAGGGAGATGCAGGAGCTCAGCATGCATCTGTCAGACACAGCATTCATTCCAAGGCAGATGCTTCAGAGAGCCAGCAAACACCCATGTCACCTATGCCATCCCTGGGGAAGTAGCTGGCATCAGCGTGCTCAGTGACTGTGACCAAAATGTTCTGCCTCTCCTCAGATGCATGCCACCCTGAAGCTCCTACAGCTTTGCCTTGCCTCAGCAGTGGGAACAGCCTGCCAGGACTTTCTGAAAAACAAGGCTAATACTTATTTTTTATTATTATTGTTTGAGGAAGCAGGTTTATTTCCAGACAGAAAACCTCAGCTTGCCAGTTAAACCTCAGACTGCCATTCAGCAATGTAGAGAGACAGGCAACAAAATCTGGCTCATCTCCACAAAAGAAAAGCATTTGCTCCTTGTTCTCTAATCCTACACTGGCCAGAGATGTCACTGGGAACTGGTGGAATTCATACCTGCTTTTGGTATATAAGCAAGGGGCTGGAGCTGCCTGCTGGTTCTGCTAAGTCATGTGATAAATGGGAAAAGGGTCTAGGGAAGGGTAGGGGCCATTAAATAAGGTTAGCAGGATGTAGATTTGAAAATCACATAGTTGTATTAAAGCTGTGGAACTCCGTCCTGCAAGATGTTTCTAATTGCTTATACAGGGAAAAGAGGAGAACAAAAAACATCACTGGAAAACAATGTGGTCTGCTCAGGCATGCTTCAGCATTAACATTGCAAGGTCTTCAGCAGTGACTCCACTGCCACACAAACAGGGCCAGAGGGTGCAGCAAACACTGGAGAGCCCATCCCCAATTCAGGAAAGCCCTGGAGAGAGGCTATCCCAGGTAGAGGACAGAAGCTCCTCTCAGAAAGCACTCACCATGCTCTGCCATCTCCTCGCTCTGCGCAATATCCACGATGGCAGATTCCACCTGCCTGTAGACGGGTGGCAGCACTCGGACAACCTCAGGGAACAGCTCCTCATTC